CCATACGGCGTACCGAAGAAAGGAAAGCCCTACTTAGATTTCAAATACCGGATCAACCCCTAGCATTACAAATAATATCCTGGGTCTAGACTAGCTATTCCCTTGCAGTATGCTCCTATACGCAATCCTCCTCATATCCTCCAAAAGTCTCATATTTAAGTCTCGTGGCTAGCCATCCGGCAATATCTGCAAGTTACCTCCTAAAATTCACTTGTTATATAAAACTTGATCGACCAGCACTTCCGCAACATAAACCCCTCTGGAAAAATACAGTGTTACCCAGCATAAATTTTTATAGTGCGAGACACCGTTTCCAGCGCTCCACCTTACAGCTATAATTCGCGATAAGGTGCCAATTGTCCAGAACACTATAGAGTGCCGTCATTGCTAAAACACTATAATAAGGTCACTGCCATAGCAATTAACCAACCACAAGCCCAAGCCGACAAAAATTCAACCACAAGCCAATTCCGTACCCCGCTGTCCACGACTAACATTCCCTTCTCCCTCCACCGCCTCCAAATTGCTACCCTACCCTACACAGCTACCCATACACGCACTCCACCCGGGCGCAACCGGAACACAAACTATCTTCGGAATATCCTCAACTACTACCCTCGTCTCAAGCATGGCCTTTCCAAGCGCCTCCACAGCCCCCTTGGTCCCTGGCTACTCTACCAGGAGTGGCATCATAGTGCATCATGCCCGAGTGGGTGTCCGTAAATGCGGAGGAGAGTTTTGTGTTCAAGTTTGGTTACGATAGTACCTTTTTCGTTGAATATTGAACCCTCGCGAAATGACGATCTGTTTTGAGGCCCTGCAACATGAACCATATTTGGGTTGGTGAATACTAGTTTAGTGGACAAAGTGAGCGAAACTATACAAAAATCAATGTGGGAGATAAATCGTGGCCGAGGCCCAACATAATAAATATTCCCAACCCAGAACCAAGTCGAGGTTCGGTTGAGAGTCGTTTCGGGTGAACGAGAGAAAAGAATGTCCAGAAAGGCTTAAATAGAACAACCTCACCTATCATAACCCGGATTCTCTAGCGACGACCCACCACCAGACAAACTATAAAAATCACCCGACGTCACTAGCGACACTTTGCATTTCACATAGAACACGAGGGCCGGACGTGATGTATCCGGAGAATGATTGTAGGAAAACAGAATTTGATGGTACTTTTGTAAAGCAGGGAGAACAGGCCAGATACATATGAACATAACATATTAATGTCAAACACACGATCCTCCATCCGCATCGGAGAAGGCAGAGCCTTCCGCGCTAATTACTTGTGGTGTTTCAAAGTTGTTGCTCTTCCATACGGGACTATCAAGTTCTCGGTTCCTGTATATGCTTATTCCCGCAGACATGATACGAAATATTTCCACGCTTCCTAGATACCTCCGGACAAGGGCTGACGAGGAACAGGCGGACTAAAAGAACAAGTACGGCCATAAACTCCACTAGGGACTCAAGCAGAAGCAAGACAAGACCTGAATGACGTACTAGAGAGTATAAAGATCGTCGTATAAATGCATGTTTGTACGGTAACAAGCCAACAACCCCCTCCCAATTAACCCCCACCCCCTATCTCCAAGTTTCATGACAGCTTTATGTCGAATTGTGTCATGCCACGCAGGTGATTCCGCCAAATCATCGCCATCTGCCTAGGGAAATACTGCATGAGTCCATCTCAACCTATAGGTTTGGGTCTCCACCGACCACCGGTGGCTAAGGTTATTTGAAATGTCAAAGTGCTTGGGAAAGGATATTTCCTAATGCGATAATAACAGTGGAGAGCCGATCGCGCAGCTGTAGATAGAATACTAAGCGAATATATGTTGGGAACCATTGCGGTATGCGGAAAAGGTTGGGAGGTAAGGTATGATAAAACAACTTTCTTCGTCTCTCTCCCGACTCCAAACTGACGGTAAGGACATCTATATAAGTATAACACACACAATGCATCCTGATCGTTCCATCAATCACCACACCTATCTCAATTCTTCCATACACTCCGGTGATAACAAAGGAAAGACATATCTGGAGATTCTACTACTCCTAAATCTCCAAACCTCCACATTGATCCATCGAACTTCTGAACTCTCAGCCAGACTCCCAAAACTTCCACAATCTACTCCGATCAAGCAAACCCATCCAGAACCTTCAACAAAACCCACCACTGGCTGCATGCATATCAACCTCCAAATTACTCAGCGAAGACACATGCAGACTATAATAGTGTCAAAGAAGGTCAAGAGAAGCTAAGAGATCAGATAGTACAGAATTTATACAGGTGCTAGTAAAGCAGCCTCCTATTGGCTAATATTTGTAATACCCAAAAATAGTTATCCCTCTATGTAGCGGTGAACGTGCCAAATATGCTTATTGTACATTTGGTTAGATACAAGGGCCAAGCAATAATAAAATGTGGTACGGTGCATTGCTAAAACTTCAGTAGCCGTGGAACACATCCGGGAAACATGACCCTGGAAGAATCTCCGTTTCCACTTTCGCCCCTGCCAGCCTAAGAAGCATACAAGTACCGGTAATTGGCAGATGTGAACTCTACTTCAACCCCTCTGCTTAAGGAACACCACTTCTAAGCTCCTGTTGGGCAATAGAATGGTTGGGTTTCCAGAAGATCTGATTATACCATCACTAATTCCGACCAAGATCGACAACAACACCTCCGCTCTGTGCCACTTTTTATTGCCTCGCCCTTGTACTGTACAGGTTAGTATGGGATGTCAAAAGTAACAATGAGTAAACAACCCAGTATAGGGAATTCGTCACCACTACCATTCCGAGCGATATAACCTCTCGTCCGGTCAAGGAAACTACTCACCGCTGATCCTTGGACTATTCCGGCAGGTTCCTATAACACGTCGGCACCCTCTCTCTGCACCTTCTGCTCAGGTGTCACCCCCGATCGCGGGCCTTAGTTGCTCCCAACCAGGCCACTAAGGGTCCACTCCTGCCTACGGAGCCCGAGACGATCCAGCCGAGACCAACCAACCTACTTTTTCCCATCCTGACCGAGATCCCCCGTGAAACGGTCAGGCCATCACTTTAGGCATCAAACTAATTATTATTTACTATTATCTCGAGTAGGTATTGTACCGGTATTCTGATACCATTCCGACAGAACCCTACCGACCCAATATTCCTCAACGCCATAATTAATAATTAACATCAATTTCCTACAAGCGGGGAAACGAAATAAGAGACAGTGGTGATACCATTCCCAAGCCCCCAGTTAGGCTGGGTAAAAGAAAACCAATGCAATTGCCTTATATTGGCCATTAGCCTGTGGCCTACCACGCTAAGGGCAAGGTATCACACCCACCATACATTCAGGAGACCGACACACCACAAAACCATGGTAAGGGGCCACGATGTCAATCTGCTAATACTGCTCCCACCACCCCCTTCCCTGACTTATCCAAACCCGGATATGTAGCCATTATATCGAGCTACCACACAGCGCAGTAAAAGCACTTTTTCCTAGCCTTAAATTCACTCGCCCATGCACACACAACCCACAACCCATTCCCATCCACTTATATCTGACAAGTAATCCCCCAACTGAATTTCCAGATAAAAGTACTTCCATGCCTTGTCCACCCAAACAGAGGGAAAACCAACTGTACCATACCACGTTTTTGCCCCAAAGATGTATGGTACGAGAGTTATATACGTCATTGACATGCCTGTCTGCACAGACACTCATTCACTCACTCACTCAATGCCCAACACTACCTACTTACCTACAGTACTATACATACCTACTCAACCTACCGCAATAGTGCTCCAACCTTCGCATAGACACCACAACCGTTACGCCCCAGCGGCTCACGATACCAGCGAGCAGAGCAAAATCAACCATACCCACACAAACCCACAAACCACAATACCATATACCAAAAGTGAACATCCCAAACCCCCCCCCCCTCACCACCGCTCAAGTTCCATCAACCAGACAAACAAACAGCATCCAAAGGAACACGTACTGTACGATACCAATCCCCTTTCCCTCAAAAGCCAACAAACAAACCAACCAACCAACCAATAGCCCTATCTCTCATACCCACTGATTTCTCCAACCGCCGAATCGCACTCACTTTTTATGATACCGGTATCATACACCATCAACTTTTTTTTTCTTTTTTCCTTTTTCCTCTTCCTCTTCTACTCGTAAACCCAATCCCGGTACGAGTTATCGGTAGATTTTACGATTACTCGTACCCGGTATCTTCCCAGAGACCGCACAAGGCCACACTTGCCCATCGTAACCGCCCATACTCGACCAGCGGAATGGAGTGAGTGAGTGAACGTGCATGCGGCGTGCACACATAACAGTACTCGAGTACTCGTACAGTGCACACACCCCCTTACGTTAAAACCGGCCTTGCAATGGGCCCGGCATGATTGATGGCCCCAAACACTTTTTTCTCGTTATGTAGTATAGCGCGGTGACTACCGTGGGAGTACGAGTAGGGCACCGCGCCATGGCACCACCCACGGTCTGTGATGCAAAACAAAAAGAAGGAAGGAAAGGAAAAAGAAAGAAACGAAAAAGAGTGAGACAAGAGGGCATACATGATTGGTTGGCCGCCCCAGATTCTGTGCTACCAAGTTATCGAGCGGGATTGTTGGGTTGTGGGTTTGTGCTCGAGTAGTCACGGTTGGTGGGGTCTCGTGACTGCTGTGGTGAGACGGGGTATGATACGTGACCGGATGCAGACGTCCGCCTAGCCTGACACGGGAGAAGGTCGCGGTAAGAGTGTGCGAGTGAGGAATTGTGATGTGGAAGTTTGATTATCGCTAGGCAGACCACCTCCATAATATTATAAATCAATTGACGGGAGCGTTGCATATAATATTATGTACGGATAGTTTCAGCTATAGTACTCTACTCTGTGCTCACCCACGTAAATATAGTATAGTATCCTACAGCTAACTTATAATGTCATACTCTGGTATGATATAAGAAAAAGGTAGGAACAGAATCAACCTTTAGATTACCCTAGCCGCAAGACACGGTTTCTCTTGTACGAATCAACCCATCAACCAATCGCTCAACCAGCTGACTAGCAAGTCGAATCACAAACCAAACAAGGTGGAAAAATGGAGATGAAAATCTGGGGAAGGAAAAATAATAGAAGAAAATAGAAAAGACACACAAGAATGCCAAATATGCTTGCTTTCCTGATCCCTATCCCTCTCGTCCATTCATCCGTCGACCCATCCATCCATCCATCCATCCATCCGTTACCATGTATTCCCCCCCCACACCAACCTCCAAACAAGTCCCCAATTAAGCGTAAATTAAAGCAAGAAAAACGGTATCTATTGACAAGGTAGGAGGAGTCGGTAAGGGAGAAGAGCAAAATAAGTGGGAAAAATGAATAAACTCCCCCTTAGAAAGAAATTATAAGGCCTTTGCAAACCCATAAACTTTGAACAATACCGGTGTAAGGCATTCCAAGACAAAAAAGTCGATCGTCAAAAACCATACCCAACCGTGAAAGTTTGCGACGAAAATACAAAACAAACCCTTGATGTAATGAAGAGAGGAGAGCAGGCCCGCGATACACTAGCCATTTAGGAAATAAAAAAGGAAGAAATGAAAAAAGGAAACACTCCAAATCGCCACGCTGGATAAAATATCCCGCACCTGCCGGATGGGGGACGAAACAAAAGTAGATGAAAGGAAATGGAACAAAAACAAAACACAAAACTCCTGGGCTCCAACCTGTCTCTCCAAAACTATTCATAGTCCTGAATTAACCACGATCCTCGTTACTATTATCCACATTAATTTCCCCCACCAATGTACCATCATCTGGCACGATTATTCCCGCCTTTCCCGTGCCGAGATCTGCACCCCTCTTTTGAGTTGCTACCGCCCTACTGACCTCCTGGGTCACATCCTCTGAAGTTGCCAGGAGATGGAGTAAATCCATGCGATTGGTTTCAGGCTTCACTGGTGCCACCTCGCTAGGCCGGCGGCTTTCGGGACCAGGACTCTCAGAACCTGAGGCATCCGACAAATTCCCACACTGGACAGCTGTGGGATGAAAATACATGGTCGAAATACTCGGGATTTGCGCATTCTTTCTCTTGCTAGATGCCGGTGACCCAGCTTCCCCGGCTTTTCCATCTTCCTCGTTATCAGTATCTTCATCATCGTCCTCAAGCTCACCATTGCCGAGTTCGTGGCTGCGGTCGCGGTTCTCAACTACCATATCTGGTTGAACGCCCACGTGTTCGTATCCCCCCTGTAAATCTACCAAGGGCATAGAAGATGAACCAAGCATATCATGTCCCGCCATGCCCACATCGTAGTCGCCGGATGGTGCAAGAGTAGTTGGAATTGGATCCATGCTGGCTCTCATATCCACTTCGGTGTGCGGGAGGTATAAATTAGGAAATCCACCTTCCTCCTGTGCGATGGTGTACAGGCTCACGCTAGGATCTGCAAATGCGGCTTCATAATAACGCTCGGGAACAGTGCAAGGAAAGCCAGCGAATGTTAAAGCCTGTTGGTTAGACATGGATTGCAAAGGTTGATTGATGGCATCCGAATTAGGCTGCAGGTCGTACATTCCCGTATCGATCGGGAAGTGGAACATTGGAAATGCCGAGATACTGTTAAGTTCCTGGCTCCCAGTGCCCGAGTCCGGAGATGGAATCATGTCGTTCCTCAAGCGGTTTGATGGTGGCTGAGACTGGCTTCCCTCCAACACCCTGCAAGACTTCCGTAGCTTCTTGTAGATCCCTTCCATCGGCTTCCAGTATCTCCTCAATTCCTTCAGCCAACCGAGCCCAGTGAATACCCTCTGCTTTTGGGCCCCAGCCCCACCATTCTCCCCCTTTAGCTCCCTTGCTCTTATCATGGAGATCTCGCAGGCGTCCGATATGGCTTGCCCCAAGAAAGGCGCATTGACAACCAAACTTCGATCACCCGCTTGCGCCTCTAATTTCCGTTTGTGGACATGCGACATTATAAGTAACACAGCATCTGCGTGAACAAATGTCTTTCGGATGCTTTGTATAACCTGCTCGTCCGGGCCGACTTCACCGGGCTGGTCCACCACATCTCCCATTGACCGGACATACCTATGCACATATGCCATAGCAGTGTGCCACATGACGTGCATCATGACAAAGGCTCCAGCAGTACCCACCTCAATTTGTCCGGCAAGATTCTCGTTTGAATACTGAAGACCAGTTGGTAATGTCTTTCTCCAGGTTTCCAACCTTTCAATCAGCTGCCGGAATTCGGTACCCTTGCCCCGATTGTGCTCAAACGCTGACATATGGATCTGTTTCAGGATATTGCCCCATATTCCAACAGCTCGGACAAGGAATGCCATTGCTCCCATATAAGCGGTTCCAGATGTGGGACTAAAGGGATTTGGTCCGAGAAGGTGTTCAGTGATAACGGACTTACCCTCATTGAATGACGGTTGGTTACAAGGAAGTTGAACATGGCAGTCGTGATCTTGTGTGAGGAAAGGCCGGGCCACACCATAGCTGTTTAACCGCTATATTTTATGCTTGTCAGTATCATAGAGGAGCAGGTTTGGGGTGACCAAGACAACTAACATCCATCAAGTAGTAGGACCAATAAGTCCTCCGCGCTACCTCCCTAGCTATAGCTGTCTGAGTACCCTTCGCTCTCCCATTCTCCAGATTCAAGTTCAAAGCAGCGCCCATTCTGACCGCCATACCAGCAAACATCCAAGCTTTATCTCCGTTATTGCTCCCGAAATCATGCAGCCCCATATGGATCATACTCTGAACGACCTGAATGCAGTTTTTGTCATAATTTTTCAAGATCTCCCCCCTTGCCAGGACCGCATAGCCTTCCTCATTCTTTGACAATGACGGCGAGAATCTTGCCGAGACAGCGCACAACGAAAAGAGCAGGACAGGGCTATGCTTGTCCATGTTTTCCTTAAACGACTTCTTATGCAGAAACGCGTATGTTTGAGAATACACATATGTGAAATAGATCTCAATCAGGTGGTCCATCTGTTCACGATTAGGAAGTAAACTGTGCCTCGGATCCTCGCTCATTAATCGTGGTATCGATGATAAGGGTGGTGTATCCACTATTGTTGGCGTCGAGCTCATTCCTTTCAGGCTGTTCCCATAGGTACCAACACTCATGCCATATGGGGCAGTCTCAAGTCCAGCGGTTGACACCGATGTGGAGGGAGAGGCGGAAGCATATGAGTGCGGAGGAGTTTCTGTTCCAACACCCACGCGCCCCCCCGGAACACCATACCCGGAATATTGCTCCGCCAGTTGTCTAGAATGATACCGCTTCGACATTTCACGCGGAATATTACCGTCCTCAACGTCATTCGATGGAACAACCCCTGCGCCGGGTGTTGCAAACATTAGTTTCTTTTCCCCCTGTATTGGAGTTGTTTGTAGTCGCGGTTGCGGATGTCTTGGGTGCATCGCCGAATTATCCACGAAATGATCCAGCCCGGAGGTTCCAAGGTCTAGTGGTTCGGTAGAAAACGAACTTCCCCTCGACGATTTTCCACGTTTAGGGACAGCACTACCCCCCCGGCCATCCTCCGAGGGTTTGCGCTTCCTAGAGCCCATCTGACCATTTGGGGGAATAATTCCTGGCGAGGCAGAGCTTCCCGGGATATTGTCGTGGTCCGACTCCTTCTTCTTCTTTCCTCCAGAGAGTTTCTTGGAGTTTTTCCGGCTTGGTTTCTCCTCCCTTCTGATTGTATTAGCAAATAATTGAACTTGAAGTGGGTGATCAAACATAAGAGACTCACTGATCTTGGCTGCAAGAGATCTTCATTTTCACACAGTGTTGGCACTTAGTTTCATCCTGCTCACTCTCACTGTAGGATACCACGAATGACAGTCAGTGAAGAACCAAGGTAAGGTCAGAAGCAACTTTGTGGCAGAATTCCAAACATTGACAACTTACACACACTTGATCTTCTTCGTCCGGCAGCTGGCACAGGCCTTCGGTAGCCTCTGCCTAGCTTTGCCAGCAGAAGTGAGTCCCCATTCCGGGAATACAGGCAGACCATCCTTCACCGCCGGCAAGAGTTTCCTAAGGCACTTCTTTCCAGTCCCCATCTGCCAGCCCAGAGGTATCTCGTTTTCCACCCCAAGTGGTAATACGTCCTCCTCATAATGCTGCCTCCCGTTGCTGTCAGTAAAAACCGGCCCCCCCCTTTTCTTACTTCCATCCTTCGTACTCTCTGTGCTACCAACTGAATCCATGCTGTCCCTCCGCACCCGATGAATGACATTCCGAGTAGTCGTCGGGCTGACGCTCGAGGTTCGCGACATGGCTTCTATCTTTATATCCTCATCGTCTGTATCATCAGGAACTAGGTCACGGTCATTCGATCGACCATTGAACATATTTGAGTTCCTGCGAGGGGATTGTCTTCGAGGCTCCATTGGTGGCCCGCGCTTCTGAGTCCCCAATTGACCCGGGGTGATAGGGTAGCCATGATCTTCCGAGTGGCGCCTCTCAGGATTATGGCTGTCTGGATAACGATGACCATCATCTCTGGACGGAAACTGGTAACTGCGCGGAAAATGGCTACCAGCACTAACACCGCCGCCATCATTCCTCATTGACGTAACCTTTGATCCAGGGGATAACGGCGAACTGGAAGGATAGAAGGAGTTCTGTGAATTTACCGGGGTCAGTGGTCCATATGGGTTAGCTACCCGATCCCTCGAATCAGGTCGTATATCCAGACCAGAAGGCCTCCTAGCAGCAATGGAAGCATTGAGCGGAGAATATCTAGGGGACGAGTCATGATTGGGGTCCGCAAACATTACCCGGTCAGACGAAAGGTGAACGTTGTTGGAATGTTGGGGCTGAGGGTATTCCCTTCGGAGATCATTCTGTGGCGATTCATGGTGTTGGTGGTGCCCGTTCACGGTCGGGGCGGGCATAGAAGGAACCACCCTAGAGGACGAAGAGGTTCTCGTGCCCAAGGGAGCCGGTAAGCCGTTGGTTGTAGGTAATTGACTCACTTGAGTTCGAGGAGAACTCGGATATTGATTGGGTGGAGATGGTGCGGCGGCATTTGGCTCAACAGGAGTATGTGGCGGACGATTATATGACGGAGGTGTCATACTATAAGGAGGTGGATGTGTCATATGGTGAGGGTGAGCGAAGCTTGGATCGTGGGAAGTAGTAGAGTGCTGTCTTGAAACAATGGGCCGCGTTGATTCCCATCCGTGCTGTGCCTGCTGGGGGGGGAATTGAGCATTTAGGGGAGAAATGTTGTGATGCAGATGACGCGGTTGATCATGATCGCCCGTAGGACTTGAGTACTGCCCCTGGTAATATGGCCATTTTTGGGCAGCTGCGGCAAGCGAGCCATTTGGGTAAGCAGTTCTAGGAGTCGAAGAGGGAGCATCCGAATATTGGTAGTGCTGCTCACCAGAGTTGTGGCCATTCATAACCCTTCCATCCATCGATCCATGGGCTTGAGGGAGGGATGGATCGCTGGAGTGATTATATGAAGCAGCAATGGATTCGTGGGGGACCGGGTGTACACCGCTCCCATCAGGAATTGGCCGTTGGGGAATCTGAGCAGCGGGGGCATAAGGATGTAGGTTGCGGCCGCTAGTCTCCGACATCGAGAAAGGCGCTTACTTCCCGACCTCTTGAAGGAAATGGAATTACGTTAAAAACAAATTCAATAAAGATCGGATGAAACGATGGCAAGTGAACTATCTTAAAATGGTGCGCTGGGAGGGTCGTGATATGGGGTGGTGTGAGCAGAACCTGGAGGAGTGGGTTGCTCGGGAGGGGGGAGTGGAGGGAGCAACACAGGGCCAAGGTAAACTTGAAGGGATAGTAGATGAGTTGAACATATACCCAAAAAAAACAGGGACAGAGGGGGGGGAAAGAGTTCGGGAGCGGGTATAAAGTGCTTGAAGAGTGAGAAGCTATCTCGGGAGAGCAAGCATGAGAGAGCCGCGACCAGACCAAATATAACCTAGAGCTTCCGATAATGCCCTGCCCAAAATGGTAACTGGTCTGGCGGAACCAAAGGAATATCCCAGGAGGTCTCTTGAGAAATGGAAGAAAGGGAAAAAAAAAAAAAAAGAAGGAAAGAAAGGGCTGTGTGTGTCGGGGGGAGACAAACCTTGGACTATGTGATTCGAGCACAAATATACGACCCTAGCCTACAATCTGGCAGCACAGGATATGGTGCTTGTTGTGGAGTAAAATAGACTGGAGTGGAGTGATGATGATGATATACCAGGCACTCCGGTCATTCAGTTGCTAACCGTACAGAATGAGGAGTTTTTTTCTTTACTCTATTTTTTTCCGAATGGATGGCTGTGAGATATAGGTATAGTTGGTATGCAATAATAGTAGCGATGAAGTGGAGAAAAGCGGCAATAAGCAGATCAAAGTAGGAAGAGCAACACTTTGGGGGGAAATTCCGATCAAAAGGGTAATGGCGCAATCATGCAAAGGCGAATTAAGCTTTGATCTGATGAAAACAAGGGATTATTCGCAGTGGAGCCAGTAGTAGCGCGGTAATGGCAGTAGTAGCAAAGTGGTAGCAGTGTAGCAGTGTAGTAGTGTAGTGTAGTAGTGTAATAGTGTAGTAGTGTAGTAGTGGCAACAACACTGCGTAGTAGATAGGCTGCAGGCGGGGCGGGTGGGCGAGTGGATGAGGGAGGTGGTTTGGGACCGAACCTGATCCACTGGAAAAGCTTTTCGTCTCCGAAAAGATTTCGACCAAACGAATAGCGTACCGGTATGCGTACTCCTTTCTATTTGTCCCGGGCGCCGAGCTAAGAGTAGAAAAGACAGCACAGTTGTTAGCTTGAAATACAACCCCTTCTCTCGTCCCCCTTCCTCCCCCCCATAGCGGTCGAGTGCAAGAACAAATAATAGGTGGAGAGATAGGTGGAGAGAGTACTCGAGCATGGAAGCGCTGAACGAGAAAACAAATGTGGATGGAGAAACTCACTACTTGACTAGCTACAGTCGAAGTATGCCCTCAATAAAGCAGCACCCTGACCCCCTTCCAATGGACCAAATTTGATCGGCGGGTGGCGGGGCGGGGAACCGGGCGAGTTCAGTCGCAACAGGTTGAGGCCAATGGCCCCAGTGGAAAAGTGGAAAGGAAAGTGTCTGAAGTGGTGAGGTGAGAGAGACTTTGAGGCTCTCGAGAGCGACAATTGCAAGCAAGTAAAAGAAAGTGACAAGCAGCGACGGCGGCAGTCGTCCTTCCTCCGGTAGTTGGATCGGCGCTGGGTGCGCCTGGCGTTCGCGAGAGCAGCAAGCTGATCGGATTTCTAGATGCGATAATCTGTGCGAACGGCGTGATGGTATGTAGATGGTAAACTTCATACACCCACCCTGTGAGCCACAGATTTCCCTCCCCTGTCCTAACCCCCGCGAAAAATAGGGCAGAGTGGTTGAGGGAATGAAAGGTCGAATAATGAATAATGGGATCAAGTCACCGCAGGAAAAATGTGAAAATGAGAAAAGTACGAGTGAGGAATAGAGTCAAGAATAAGAATCGAAGACAAAAATGAAATATTGTGGAGCCCCTCCAAAATAGAATAACCCCGGATCGCTGAAAAATGACCGCGCGATGCTCCGCTCCGCTCTTCTACCGGTATGATACAAGTATCTCAATTCCACCTGCCCATAAAAGGGTGAAAAATAAAATAAAATAGAGGTGGGGAAGAAGGAACATGAATCTCTCTCCCCAGTCGTGATCCGTTCCTCCAGCATTTTTAAGAACGACAGTGATATCCAACACTGCAGAGATCCGCTCGCTCTCAAAATATTTCCCTTTTACCTCTCTTGTCTTTTGTCTCTCTCTCCCTCCCTCTCTTTCCTTCTCTACTCGAGTATTCTCTCCTAAGGGGAAAAAAAAAAAAAATTTACCCTCAAGAAATGAAGGACCGAC